CTTTTGTGACCTTTAAGTTCTTTCGTGATCTTGTAAGAGATTTTCCAGGTTTTTTAAATAACACTAATATACCAGTTCTGTTATGTTTCGGTCCGATGTTTAATTGTTAGTGAGACTCAGTCAAGACTCATACTGAAATGGCACTCAAAATGTTTCTGAAACGATTGAGTACCTTTTCTGCACAAATTGGATATCGCTAAAGATTCCAGTGTCTTGGCATGTGTGACTGGAATATTCTTCGATTTTTGAGTGTAGATCCGAAATCTATTTAATGATTGGTTTTAGGAGTCCCACTGATTTTTTTTCCTGCTAAAAGTATTTTGAACCACTTCGTCATCAGTTGGAACTAGTTGAAGGCTCGTTTAGCTCAAACTCAAGGTTGCTTTCGGCGTAAGATTATGACTAGTTTAAGGCTGTGATTTTCCAAAGGTGTTAAGTATACTATTATTTATGAGCTACAAAGATCAGTATAAAAAGAGTATCAAAACTTAAGATAGCCGATTGTATCGGTAAAGGCCGTTGAGTGTTTAATATTATTTAGATTTTAAAGTTGTCGAAACACTCTTTAATTTCATGGAAGAGGCCAATCTACAGATATATCCTCCAGGCCACAGCTGTATATGATCAAAGTTTTAGTTGCCTGGAGCTCACGTAGTGCTCTGCTCATAGTCAAATTATTCTATTGCGAAGCACGCAACTTACTACGGGAATATACGATTGCTGAAAGGAATTTCAACAACCGAGTTAAATCGTGTTCTCGTTAGTCTATGAATCGTTAAAAAATCAAAACTTCGTAGATCGGTAGTTCGTGGAAGGAAGTTGGACTGTTTGGCAGATGAGGGATCAATTTTATTCGAGATGAAGTAGTCGTCACGTAGAAAGTCAATTTTTTTTGGTATCTAGTTTTGAGATTTCTGCTAGTTCTCTGTTAGAAGGCTCGTTCTATATGTCTAAGACGTAGTAGATATGGTCGGACTCAAATAGGGGGCTAGTAATGTTTATTTTGCACTTTATAGTTGCGGTCTGGACGGCATTATATATACACGTAGTTCAATGCTGTTATTCTAAGATTTCTCTAAATCACACCACTGCTGCTAATATCTCGCACGGCAGTGTACGTGCACTGTATAGAATTTATCTCTATTTGCTTTGAATTGATGGTGTTATGTGTCAACTGCTTCATTGCATTTTAAAAGCGCACACAATACACACATACATGTTTGTATATCTACATACATACGTATGTACGTGCGTAATTCCAAATAAATAGCTATTGCTTTCGCCGTTCCATCTTCCCGTGCCCCTTCTAACTATTCGATAATCAGAAGCGCATTCGTGCGTGCTTTGCGAGCACACTGACCGTGTCATTAGTCATGCAGAATACATAAAATTCTATACAAGCATAAATATGTATTTATTTTTAACTTAATTATGTATTACTCAAATGCCTAAATATGTACTTTGAAGTGTAGCATCTTACATACCATCTGTAGCTCTAGCTTTATCTATACATGTTCTTAGTCTTTAGCGGTTTTCTTGCTTTCGTTTTCAAGTCTTTCTTTTATGCTAAAAAATTATCTCTCTAAACTCTAGACTTGATCTGTTCAACCTCTGTCGCTGCATTTCGTAACATTAAAAGCAAGCATTTTTGTTATTGTAAGAAATGTGTAAAAAAAACTTAATTGCCTGTTTTAACGGTTAACCGATGACTAACAGGATGCGCTGATATTTAATATGACTACACACCGCTTTGGTTGGTGGCATTGAGTTTGAAGTGGCAGTATAATGTTGCCGCTGCAGTAACTGAGAATATTTTATAGGTACGAGGGAGGTTCGAAAAGTTCGCGATATGGAAAATTGAAATTGGAAAAGAGAAAAAAAAAAACATTTATTGCCAAAAAATATTTCGAAATCAAAATGAATACTTTTTAAATATTTTAACTATTTTTAATATATATTTTTTTAATTTCTTTTTAAATTTCTCTGTCTAAGAATTTCTATTTGACTTGAAAATGCAGCAAAATTCTCTGCTTGTTCTTGCGTGTGTGGGTTTTTTTATGGTCTACTAAGTAATGAAATTCAGGTCTGGTCTATGTGAACTAATAATTCGAAGACGATTCAGTACATGTCAGCCTACGAGCCTCTGTTCATATGAACCATGTCATGGTAATATTTCGTCGTCATTACCTCAAAAATAGTACCGAATTTTTTTCTTGCCTGGAAGAATCTCTCTGACCTTTAAACAACTTTTTCTGTGTGTATGCATTTATGTAGGTATGGTATATTTGGAGCTCTCTCACCGCTGAAGCTATTATTGGTTAGCATATTAATGTTTTTCCAATAAATGGAGGGACCTACAGCTTATACGAACGACTGCTGATTTTTTTACGAAGAGCCTCTATTTCATGTTCGAAATACACTCGGAGCGGTGGACATTCCCTGCCAAGAGCGACTGCAATGAGAAAATTTAACTTATTTTTGCTTTTTCGGCGATTGGAAGTTTTATTTTATGCCGCCACTGTACAGCTGGTTGATTTTTGTGAGAAGATTTCACTCACTCGCACTCAGCTGCTACTTCGACTCAAACTCAAATTAATGAGTCTGCACTCTTCTCTCTCCTCTCTCATCTAACTCCATTTCTCGTATTTCTTTAGCTCCCCACGTATGCACATATATATTTATGAATGTCCGACTAGTCAGTGGTGACGCATTCACTACACATTCTTGCATTCAATATGAATATCCTTTGTCATCTTAATCCTATAGAAAGGGGTTGATAAATTCCAGGAAATAAAACTAAAATCTCAGTACTGTTGAACTTTTTTCATAGTCATAAAATATATACATATTTGAGAACATAATGATTTGATGTATCTCGTCTGAAATATAGTCATCTTGAAACAATTGGTAAGATAGTTTTGGTACTTACTAAAATCCTTACTGCATTTGAATCCAAAGTTAAAAGTTTCTCTGTAAAACTTTTTTCAGAGCATCATACGACTAACAATCTATCTAACACAAATTTCTCCCTCTCTCCCTCTCTCTCTCTTTCATATAAATAACTATGAATTGTACTGCGGAGAAAGATTGTGCGATCAAGATGGTTGGAAGTGATTCGCGGAAGGTCGGGAATGCTCGCGAAAACTCAATCCGTAGCAATATGTGTTTTTAAGTTGAAATCTGGTGGATTAATTTTTCCGCCACCACTTCAAAACTACTTGCAAAAGACTCCGTAATCGGTTCGTGACTAATTTATACCATCATTAAAAAAAAGAAGCTATTTCTATGTTGTTTGAAAATCGGTTTGGCAATGTTTATTACGGGAGCATTAGTCAAATGGTTAGCAAGGCAAAGAGTCATGAATTTGGGCCTTGGTGAGCATCTCTGAGTGTTTTACTGAGTTTTTAGTTTCTTCTTCTCACTAGTGATGCAATAATTCTCCACCATTTCGGAAAATGTTCAGACCTGCTTAAGGGTCGTTTGGCAATATTTAAAGACCTTTCGTGGGTATCTCAAGAGTTGTATTCCGAGACCACTCCCGATATATTCGGAAATACTCCCGAACTAAATTCATTTTAGCGCTTTTTGGCTACTACGTGCGAAAAAGTACTGTAATATTTCAGGTGTATTTTCGAATTAGCTTGGAATATATAGTCCATATAACGGTTGATTCAAGTAGAGGTACTTCTTTAACAGACTTATTTTGACAGATCACGCGTGAGTCGTGTCAAACTATCATGTCATTTTTGTTCAGTATTGTTTGGCATTTCATCATGGGAATACTTACGGTTGAACAAAGTTTACAAATCGTTCAACTTGGTTACGAGAATTCACGTTCTGTAAAGAACATGTTTCACGCGCTTCAATCAGCTTATGGTTAACATAATCGGCCTACTGAGACCCAGCAATCATTCGACCGAATAGCGCACGCAGTGTAGAAAAAATACCGGCCAAAGCAGAGAGTGTACACGAAGACCGTTGAGGGTCGATTCGGCGTCGTTCGCAGTAACTCAGGCTGACGTATGGAACGACTTGGCGCATTATACGTTGAGATCTTAAATTAAAAGCGTACGAAATACCACTTGTGCAGGAACTGAAGACGCTCAAGAACACAAGAAGATCCGACGTTTTCGAACGAAATTTTTTTGAGCGAGACCATTTCGACGAAGAGCAACCTGAAGAGAGAGCTGCCATTTCATCCAGAAATAAACAACGGTTTGGTCTTGTTTATGGGCCGGTGGAATCATCGCTTTATATTTCTTCACCGTTATAGCGTCTTGATAACCAACTATTGATGCCTGAAATTGAAGCCTGTGATCTCGGTGACATTTCAACAAGACGGCGATTAATTGAGACAATACTTCGGTGAGCAAATAATTTCGCCTTTTGAGCTAGTCGATTTTCCATTAAGATCGTGTGATATCACAAGTTAGACTTTTTCCTGTGAGGGTATATAAAATCTAAAGTCTATGAGGACAATCCCGCTTCGATTCAAATCTTAAAACAAAATATCGCACGTCTCATTCATTACTTACCGGTCAAAATGGTCGCACGAGTAATCGAAAATTAGACTCAACGGATGGACCATTAGATATGTAGGCGCCAAAGAATATAAATTTGAAATTTCTGTGTTTTTTCTTTAAAAAGGAAGGGAACCTCAAATTTAATTTCCCTTTATTAAAATTCCTAATTGATTCGATTAAAATCCAATAGCCGAGTGGTTAGCGTCGCGTACTGGCATCCGGAAAGCCAGGGTACGACGCCTCCTATTAAGTTTTCTACAAGAAATAGAAGCTCCTCAAAAAATGCCATCGGCCGTTCGGAGTCTGTAGGTCCCCCATTTTTTGGAAAAACATCGACCGAAAATCGCTTCAGCGGTTACCAAGCGCCAACTGGAACAGGGAAAGGGAATTTGATATATGAAAATTGTTTAAGTTTAATTGTTTCTTAGCAATAAAAGCCGATTTAACTTACAAATCTTCTATTATTTTCCATTTCAGTGTGCAAGGAGTGGCTGGTACGTGAGGATAGTGCTCTCGCCTATAAATTGCAGTCGCAGGAGAGTAAGTTCCCTAAATTTCCCAACACTTTGGCTTATACGTAGCTTCTCTACACACAAATGGGTGTTTTTTGAAATTTATATTCAATCTCTCAACAACCTCTCCGTCTCTCCAAATAGTAAATGACTTCTACAAAGGCAATCGACAACGCAATGCGGTTGTACGTGAGGATTTTCCCACCGCATTAAATGAGCAAATCAAAGAGAAGGAGCAGGCAGAGAAGCAAGTGGAAATGTATCGTCGTCGTTTGTTGGAACAGTAAGTGCCATAAAATTAGACAAACACACAACAACTCTGCACATATTTGATTCACCATTTTATGTGACCACAGGGAAGCGCATGATAAGCGTGTAGCAAAGGAGATCGCCGACAAGCTGGAACGTGACTTGGAGGAACAAAGGCAACGGGAGCTACTGGAGAGTGAAGAGATGGCGCAACAGATGCAGGTGAGTACGAAAACCGAAAATATGTATATAATATATAGATGTATGTATGTATATATATCTCTACCCTCTACAGGAGCTCTATGTGAATCTACCACCACCAGCGCGCGGCAGGTCGCATGCACCGCCGCCACGTCCAGCTAAAGCAAGTATCTTGCAACAGAATCCAAATGAACCCTCAACATCAAACGGTAGATATTTTGGTAGTAGTAGTGGTAGTGGTAGTGGTAGTGGTAGTGGTAGTGGCAGTAGCCAGCATTCGAGTCATCATCAACAACAACATCAACAACAAATATCGCAATCACCGCAACAACAACAACAGCAGCAGCTCTCATCTTATTACCAACAGCAACAGCAACAACCATCATCATCACCCGAGTCACTTTTGCTGCAACAGAATCATTTTTCACAAACCGATTGTTATGTTGGCATAACGGTACAAAAGTCACCATCATTATCAGCTGGCGCTGTTGTAGTAGATACACCATCACCACCAACATCGGCTAGCCGTAAACCGTCCAGATCACAAGCGACTGCAATGAGCACCTCCACTACTGGCGGTCACTTCTTGGTGAGTTTTCCCTTTTCAGCGGTCCGTTGCAAAGTGCAGAGTCTTTCCTTTGAACCAAATAAGCCATTTTGAGCGTGCGCTTGGGATGTAACGGTATTTCATTCTAATTTCTATTTCACACTCCGAACTCGGCTGCAATACTTGCTGTTGTATAGTAAGCTTGAAAACCTGCTTTCAAATCACCTTCGTATGTACTTTTGTTGATTATCATGCTATAGCTGAAACGCAGTTGGTGTCTGACTAACGTGTTCTTATGTCACCTCAGTAATATTCCGTGAGATTGTAATTCTATAATTGGATCATAGCGCATAAACTAGGAAGAGTGAGAACAGACACGCAGAGAGCAGAAGTGCAGGTGAATAGATCCTCCTCCCAATCCTCTCTCCAACCCGTTCACAAAGACCTCGTGTATGGAGCGACTCTCCAAAAGACTGGCAGACCTCCAAATGAAACGCAAGCTCTTTCGGCTTATAGTCTTTCTCTAAGCCTCCCAAAGCTTTGAGGTCTTATATTTGTATTATACTTGTATTTCGGAATCAACTTACCAATACTCCCCAAGTGCGCATATTGAATTCGCATATATTATGCTCAATTCAATGGACTATTCAGACTAACTAATTTCATTCTCATTCTAATCAGCATCAGCACCAACATCAACACTCATTATCATCCAATTCGTCGGGGGGCTCGGCTGCATCGACATCCTCAGCAGCAGCAGCAGCAGCAGCAGCGGCAGCGGCAGCAGTAGCAACCGGATCGGGATTCTCATCGGTATTATCACCCTCATTAACACACCAACACCCACCAACCCAACACCAGCACAACCAAAACTTGCACTCACCAGCAGGACAACCACAAAAGCGCAATCCATTTGATTTGCACCAACCAACACCTGCACCACCTTATACTAATCACTCATCACCACAACCAATTACACCTTTAGGCACACACCACCAACGTCAACACTCCGTCGAAGAGTTGATCGAGTATTCGGATGTCATTGATAGCATACGTCATCAGCGGAAGGCTAAGAGTGCCACAGTCAGTGTTGTTGATGGTGGTGATGTTGCTAATGGTCTTACACCCAACTCTCCAACACAAAACAACAACAACAACAAAAATACATTCAGTAATAACCACCCAAGTCCATCAAACGGTGCTTTGAGCAATCGTCTACACTCCGTATCGAATGAGAATTTGCTTAGAAATGAATATAAATTTCAGAAACTCTCACCGGAGAAATACGATCAGCTGGTGGGCAATGATGGTGGCAGCACTGGTGGTGGTGTACGTACAGCGATTAACGCTGTAGCGGCAGAACGCCACATGCAGGCGCATGCTGATGATATCGAATTGTATGTGGATCCATGCGATTATGCGAGCTTAAAGGAGATCGGTTTGCCCATGGATGAGATTAAAGAGATGAGCAAGAAGATGAAACAGGAACAAAAGGATGAGGTGGGGATGTGAAGGCTCAATTCAAACTCAAAAATGATAATTATTTTTATAATTTCAGCTACTTGCACGCCGTCTACAACAAATGGAGGCGCACGATGGACTCACGCAAGAGGAACGCGATCGTCTGCTCGCGATCGAAGCGCAAGACAAAGAATTAGCCAAAATGCTGCAAGATCGGGTAAATATGTAAAATCAAATAACTTTTGAGAAAAAATATTAAAAAATTTAAAGTTTTAATTTAAAAATAAATAAAATTAAATTAAGAAATTAAATTTAAATTAAATAAATTAAATTAATTTAAATTAAATTAAATTAAATTATAAAGGTGTCTAGAAACAGAAGCCTGATGACGAAACGTGGTGGTTTCGGAGATAGCAGCTATGCTATGTTGTTGTAATTTTTTCACTATTTCCTAAAAATAAATGGTCTGACACAGTTCCATAAAACAAAAAACCCAAAACTTCAATTAAAATAAATTAAGTAAAAATAATATAAAATAAATATAACGATAAATAAAAAAAATAGAAGAATAATATAAAGCAAATAAAAATAAAATAAATAAAAATAAATTAAATAAATATAAATCAAATCAAATTAAATTAAATTATTTTAAATAAAATAATGTATATACCCAAAATAAATTTAAATAACATTAAATGAGATAAAATTAAATTAAATTCAATAAACTTAAGTGAAATAAAAAATATAGAAATAATAATATAAAATAAATAACAATTAAATTAAAAAAAATAAATTAAATAAAAATAAATTAAATAAAAATAAATTGAATTGAATAAAAATAAATTAAATTAAAATAAATTAAATCAAATCAAATTATATTAAATTATTTAATATGGAATAAAATAAAATAAATATAATCAAAATAAAAATAAATTAGAAAGATAAATTAAATTTAATCAAAAGAAAAAAATGTAAGTGAAATTGTTTTTACACTTATTTCAACACCACACAGGAGCGCGCCAAAGCCAAACGTGCCAAAGAGAAAGCTCGCCTACGCAAGCATCAACAAAAAGATGCCGCCGGCAGCACAACGCTTTGCTCCTCTAGCGGCAACACATCGAATGGACTGCACTGTGGACCACTCTTGCCGCTGCCACAAGATTGTCTCTCATTTGGCAAACACTCAACGCATGCAACACATGCAACACATGCAACACCCTCACCAACAACGGTCAATAACAATGGCTTTCTACCCACACATGGACACAACAGCTTGCATGAAGGGGACGGCGGCGATATTATCGATGTGGAAGCCTACTCCAATCCCATTGATGTACTACACAATCAGCAACAACAAGTGCAACAACGACAACAACCAAATGGTACATTAACAAATGGCAGTTTGACGCGTGAAGGCGGTCGACGCAGTAACAATAGTCAAAACAATAATCAGCATAGTATGTTGCTTCAACGTGGCGATGATGATATCTATACGCTGCCAGTGGATAGTTGTCGACCCGGGCAGCGACCCACTTCACTCACTATCAGTCCAGCGGGTGAAGCGCAGCTGTTGCAGCACAATTCAATGACCAGGTGGGTGTGCAATTAGGAAAATATAAAAAAAAATGCAATTAATTTGATATTTTATTATTCATTACCGGTGCAGATCTGAAAATTATTCAATCGATTCACATGATTCGCTCAACAGACACGAATTAGTGCCACCACGCATGAATTACTCACAATCGAGTACTTTTGGTATATATGTATTTAATGGTCAGCTTATATATGTGTATTTATTAAAGTAAATTTTTTGTTTTTAATTTGCAGATAAAAGCTCAAGTCCCACACCGCCTTATATGCCGATTCAAGGTACGCGCCGATCGAATTCGAGCGACGAGCGTAAAAAGAAGTCCAAGGATAAGTGTACGCATCAGTGAAGTGACAAAAATTTAGCCGAATTGCTCAGTTACTCCTAGTATAGTTACAGGCATACATATATATGCAATCATGAACACAAAAAAAAAAAAAAAAAAACAATTATAAAATAATAAAAAATATTATTAAAAAAAGGTTATACACTGAGAATACATTGCCCTTGCATTGCACATTCTTCATATTTATTGTTATACATACATACAAACCTATATGTATATCTGCTTCTCCATATTGTTCTTCGTGCTAATTAGACTGGAAAAATTTGATCTTCTCATGTAAGCATATCTAGAATTTCATATCTCATAAAATCAACCCAAATCTATCTATATTGTATTACTACATACATATCTTATGTGTGAAACCTACTACTGAAAAAGTAATACGCAAAGAGTGAACAAACCTGTATAGAATCGAGTTAAGCAAAAAAAATATTAAAAACAAAAATAACTGAAAACTAATCAAAAAGGTTTTGTAATGAAAAACAATAATTAGAAGTATTTATATGTGCGTAAACGCATTTATTAAATTTAAAATTTATATAAATAGTTATGTAATTAAAGCTACCTAGAAATATAGTTATACATATACATATATATATATATATATATAAATATATTCACAGATATACATACATTTATCTAGCATATACACAGCTATTGTGAAATTTTTTCCCCGTTTTTTCTTTACAAATATATGAAAAATAAAAGAAAAATAAATTGAAGTTTTTTATTATTGTAAATCGCTAATAGCAAGAAAGTGGAGCTGTCTTCTTATAACTTTTATGACCATATCAAATTTGTGGTATTTTATTTTAGGCTTAAATACTAATTCTCAAATCTGCAAAATTTATTGGAGAGGGCAATACTATGAAGATTCCCGATGTCTTTCAGTGACAACGATTATTTGTATATACTTGTGTAGAATATCAAATTTCATGTGTTGAATTGTTTTTCGGTGGATTCTTGACCAAAAACTATGTGATATAGTCCTCTGATCTTAACGATTTTCGGTGACTATGTTTATTTGCTGATACCCATTTTTTCACCAAATTCCATCCTCTTGGCTGATTTTTGATGACGTTGTGACTAAAGCCTTTTATCTGAAAAAAACGGTGTATAGGTGCTATATGTTATGACCGTCCGATTTCCAATTCGTCATCATTTGTGTGCAGAGCAATTTATTCAAATTATAGCAAATCATTATCACTTTCACTAACTCGAAGTGGAACCGATTTTTTTTGAGCCCAGTTCTGAACTAGATATTGGAGTACACTAAATCTGTACCTGTAACGACTCGACCATAAATAAGCCAAGATATGTATGTCTGGTATGCAATGAGTCCACATGTGAAACTAACCACACCTTTAATCGATTCATCTTTACCATTTTTTTCAAACCTGTTAGATAATCTCATTTACAGGGACTCGCTTTACTCATTCCTAAGCGAGTGGTAACAAAACTACATATTAAAAACAACAACAACCTAATAACGCGGTTTGGCTTTCTCCAGACTGGGTAAGAAAGAGAGGTGAATGAGACTGGAACTGAAAGAGGACGAGACAAAATATTTCCTTTCATCGAATAGTTGTTGTTGTTGTTGTTGTTGTTGTTAATATTGTTGTTGTTGTTATTATTATTTTAGCGGTTCAATAGACCCGCTTCATCTAATGGGAGGTCCAAGAAACGTGCTGTTTCAACGGAATCGGATCAGAGGGAGAGGGGGGTTAGATGTGTCAGTTTAAAAGACCATGTTAAGAGGTGGTTAGTGTTGTGAGAAGGCTCTTCACATGCAGGGTATACGTTGGGTATGCTGCGTCGTCGAGTCTGAATAGGTAGGAGTTTAATCTGCTATAGTATCCAGACCTAAGATGTACCGGTTCTAGGCACCGCAGTTGCCTGCCTGTTTGTCATCTTTTCGGCGATCTAATCCCGTTTAGGTCAACAGGTAACATCGCATGAGCACCTTCGCTTCATGGCTCCCACTACACTGCTGTCATTCATAATTTTGAGAACGTAGATATTTTCTTCTATATGTGGATCAATATCCATACCGGTAAAAATGTCAGCAATGAAATCTCATGCAGAGTCATGCTTGCCAACACCTGATAAATTGTACTGAAGCATAAAATATAATCTTTTTCGACGCGTATCCATCTGTTATTTTGTTCCGAAGTGTTGACGACGAGGACATTCGATGAGTGGATGATAAGAGCTTGCGAGGAAAAGGTCTTCCGAACGATTAATGGATAATGAGCTGTAAAGGATATACGGATACATTCACATAGTTCAGGGAATGAAGAAACAGTGGCTGCGCTGGATATACCGTGCCGTCCGGATCTACTAAAACAATCCATCTGAGAAGTTTTTCGTAGCAGTAACGGTTGGGGAATGTAAAAGACGTAGAAAATTTCCGTTACAATAGAAAGATCAATTTGGAAGCAACATAGCATCACTTTCCATCGAGGTATACTGTAGTAGTCTAGGAGAGAAAAACAATAATTTTAAAAAAATTATTGTATTTTTTAATAAAGAAAAAAAATTTTTTTTTTCATTCTGTTTTAGTAAAATTTTTTATCACCCCTCATAAAACCATAAAAACACTTACCAACCAATATCCCAGCTGAGATTACGGCAAGCAATAATTCAAACTGAATGGGTTCAGTAGATGACAAATGAAGAGTTGTATTTAAGCATATTCCTACATATGTATGTCGGGGAAGATGACACCGATTAGTAAGATGAGAAATTCAATTTGATTAGGTCCATGGAGTATAAGTAATCGGAGCCGCTATGATTTGGAGTCACCTTACGTTATTTAATGGGAACTCATCACTTCGACCGTCCCTTCAGGTGTTTTAAGAGTTGGTGGTAAGGTAAGGATAGTACCGTAACGCTATGACTCAAACGATAAAGTGACTGATAGTGAGGATCTCAAGAACTTCTATTTTACTCCAGGAAGGCGGCTGCTAGGGAAAATGCATTTTTTGCGTCATATAGCAGTTTTCCGAACTGTAAGATATGTACAAGGTTTTCTATTATATTGATATTCAAAGAAAAATGAGATTTATTGAGATAAATAATTGGATGTTCATTTCAATATTAACAGGAAGATATGCCATTAATAATGGAAAACAATATCAGCCAAATGGTCGCCATGGTTACGCTTACAGGACCGTATCCTTTATATGCAATTTTTTTTCCATCAACAAATCGCAAAGCGGCTGCTGTATATCGTCAATTGCTTCACGAATCCATCTTTGCGGTATTGAGGCAAAATAGGCTTGTTGGCGTAGACCTAATCTTTCACGTGGTCGCAGCAAAGAAAGAAATCCCAAGGTGTTAAATCACAAGATCCCTGTGGCCAACTGTGATCACCTCCTCCACAGATAACAGGGTTCGAAAACTTTTCCCTTAAAAGATCGATGGTTTCGTTGCTTGTGTGGCATGTAGCGTCGCCTTGTTGAAAGTACACGTTGCCCAGATTAATACCACCTAATTTCGGCCATAAAAAATTATTTAACATCACCATTTATTTCCAAAAAAGACAGATCCTATGACCCCGACGGACCATAAACCGTTACACGTTGAAGATGGAGAGCCTTTTCAATAACAAATTTTCAGTTTTCTGAGCCGTAGCTATTGTGTTGGATCAACTCAAGATCATGACGTTGTTGATGATCGTCCAGCTTGAGCTATTGTATTAAAAGACAAAAGACCATGGTCTTTATGCAAAATACGTCATAATGACGTTTGTTGAGTGCGCAGTTCCAGAGAACGTGGAGGAACGGACAAAGCAGGAATTTCTTCAACAAATTAGCTTACAGCAGCAATATACTCAGGTGTTCTTGAGCGACGTGCACGTGTTTTATTCTTTCTTCCAATAGCTCCATTTTTTTCATCAATTTCTATATTGCGGTCCGACAAGGTGCTTCACGACGATCGAAAAAGGTTTCCGTATGTCTAAACGTCTCTGCCAGGTTTTCACCAGTTTTATAGTGAATTTTAATCATTTCGATGCGGTGTTGGAGCGTTTTTCGTTTCTTTTTTATTTCTGACGCAGTTTTAACTTGGCCTCAAAAGTGACATCTACCGGAATAGCAGGATATATTGGGTTGCCAAAAAAGTAATTGCAGATTTTTTAAAAGAAAGTAAATGCATTTTTATTAAAACTTAGAGTGAACTTTAATCAAATATATAATTGCCATTTTGTTCGATAACCTTTTGCCATCTTCCTGGCAAATTTAGTATTCCACGCTCATAGAACTTCTGGCCTTTATCTGCAAAAAACTGAACCAAGTGCGATTTTATAGCCTCATCATTGCCGAAAGTTTTACCATTTAAGGAGTTCTGCAAAGATCGAAATAAATGGTAGTCTGATGGTGCAAGGTCAGGGCTATATGGTGGATGCATCAAAAGTTCCCAGCCAAGCTCACTCAGTTTTTGGCGAGTGACCAAAGATGTGTGCGGTCTAGCGTTGTCCTGGTGGAATATGACACCTTTACGATTGACCAATTCTGGTCGCTTCTCCTTGATGGCTGTATTCAATTTGTCCAATTGTTGACAGTAAACATCCGAATTAATCGTTTGGTTCCTTGGAAGCAGCTCAAAATATACGACACCCTTCCAATCCCACCAAACAGACAGCATAACCTTCTTTTGGTGGATATCAGCCTTTGAAGTGGTTTGAGCTGGTTCACCATGCTTGGACCATGATCGTTTTCGACTAACGTTGTTGTAAACAATCCATTTTTCATCTCCAGTTATGATTCGTTTTAAAAACGGATCGAATTCATTGCGTTTAAGGTGCATATCACAAGCGTTGATTCGGTGTGTTAAATGAATTTCTTTCAATACATGTGGTACCCAAATATCAAGCTTTTTCACCAGTCCAAGACTTTTTATGTGATAATGAACGGTTGATTTTGGTATATTTAACTTCTCTCCTATCTCACGCTCAGTTACATGACGATCCAATTCGATTAATGCTTTGATTTGGTCATCATCAACTTCATTTGGCCGACCTGAACGTGGCTCATCTTTAAGTGAAAAATCTCCAGAACGGAATTTGCGAAACCAATTTTGACACTGTCTTCCTTTTAAGGCTTCATCACCATACACATCTCGTAACTTTTTAGCAACCTGCTCCGCGTTTTTTCCTTTACGGAAATAATAAAGTAAAATATGACGAAAATGCTCCTTTGTGGGCTCCATATTAAAATTGACGCCAAACAAACAAATGTAAACAAAATTTCGCGCACTTTTTTTCTAAAGCAAGCTAAAAGTAACAGCTGATAACTGACAGAAGAAAGAATGCAATTACAGAGTCACAAGCCATTGAAAAAATTTGTCAACGCCGACTATATGAAAAATCCGCAATTACTTTTTGGGCAACCCAATAGAAAACTTTTTATTCGAAAACCTTTTATACGA